CTTATTATTAAATGCTTGTGTATTCTACCCTTGCAGGCCACATATTAACATTTAGTGAAGAAGCAGGGTACTTCACCGAGTCTTAGAGTCATGTTAGTTACAAGGCACTGCAGTCGGGACATCTTTATTTACAGATCATTAAAACAATGAGTTCTGCAGTAACAGAACAAGCAGAAATACTTGTTTTTCTTGAGCATTTTCACAGTATTTGGTCAAGTGCAAACTATGCAGACGCCTGCTGGCTGCAAAATGAAAAGAAGAAGAAAGAGCAGAGGGAAGTATGCGTTTGGGGGGAAAGAGAGACGAGAGGGACAGCTGGACTGAAGCAGTAGTGTCGAGGGGAACACACAGAGGAAACCAGCCATTCTTCAAGTAGCAATTTCAGATGTTGAGCATGAGAAATACTGGCCCACTCCCTCCCTGTGGTCTTTCTGTGCCCACCACAGCTGAGTACCTGGACATAATGACATCAGAAGCTTTGCACACCCTGCAAACGTCCTCATCCCAGGGAAAGCGGGAGAGCTTTACCAATAGAGGTGGCTGAAGGAAGGAGGGAGCAAGCTGTGAGCAACCAGAGCTATCTATGGTGGTGGAAGCAGCCAGCACGGTTGTTTGGCAGGCTACTCTAATTAGGACAGCTCTGAGACTTGTGTAAAACAAGGAGAACAGAGCAAGCTCTGGGCAGCGCCAGGGACCGGGTGCGTGTGTGAGAGGCATGAAGCCATCTGTGCCCAGCTTTCTGCAGCCACCCCTTCAGCACAGCAAGCTGGAACACAACCCCCCTGCACTGACTGGGATCCTGGAAGGTTGGCGACGTGACTGCCGCTGCAGAGGCGTGCAAATGGGTGGAGAAAAATTTTTACTCTCTTAAGCACTTGTGCATTAGAGGTCATTCAACAGGTTATTCAGGATGAAGGATAAACACCAAATAAGTGCCAGTTTTAAGTCCTGATTGCTTTACTTTCTTGAGCTACAAACTCACTGACACTGTGTTTTCAGCTTGATGGCAGCAGTATTCAGGAACTCCTTTTTCTCACTTCTGCATCCTTCTCATCCAGCATTATTTCCATTTCAGTCACTCCCTCTTGCTCCTTTCACCATTTTGTTCTCCAAGACTTTGGCAAATGTTATCTTTCTCGAGGAGGCACCCACTGCGCAGGAACTATTTTATTGTATGAGAGATAGGTTGAGATGAATGTAACCTACAGAGAGCGTATGATGCGAACAGTGAAGCAACTCCAATAACTAATAAGGTTTGCTCAGCCCAGTTCACTCAAGGAGCAAATGTCATGACGCTTCCCCTTGGATTCAAAGAGGACACTTTAATCTCACTACTATAAACATGACCCAAGGAAGGACCAGGGTGGAGCATGGGAAATGTTGCCTTTTAATTCTCTATTCTTTGGAGTAGCAATCTACTTATGATATAACAGCCTCTGCTGTCGGGCTCCAGGGAAGTCACACTGCCTTCGAGAGGGTTCTGAGAAATGTTACTTTCAGGTGGTGCTGCATGCCCAAATTCCAGCTCTTATCTTGGTTTCAGAGTGTGTGCAGTGAGAGGGACGCGTAGCGGTGCGTTAGACAGGAGTTTCTCGGCTCTCATCAGCCGAAGCACTTCTCAGGGTGTATCCAGGCTTTTCTCAGGGCTGTATCAGTCTTCCTGCAGAACAGCAACAGTGCCTCTTGTAACAGTGTAGGTGGAGCCTGAGGCCGTCTGTGATCCCCCAAGGAATTTCCCAGGGTTCCTCATTTATCTATTCTGTATTTTCTTTTCCCAGATTTTTCTATCGCGTTCTATGGAGTTCGAGTCAGGTTCGTCATTTCGTCGGACGTCTGAACCGCCCGTGCTGGGATGTGCTTCGTCGCCCTGCCCGATCGCTGGGCCCCGCCACCCGCCTGGGACACATGAAATAACTCGGGGATTCTCTGTCCTCTGGAGGAAACAGCCCGTCCATGCCAGAGGCCATGCTTCCAAGCTGGTTAGAGACACACAGCCTTCATTTTCTCCCTTAATAGCATAGACACAATTATTGCAGGCTGAATTTAGAATTTCAAAAATTCCCATTGTTAGCAAAACTAAATGAAAGATTGATGTGGATGGGGGTTGGTCCTACTTTTGTCATTCCAAAGACAAAGGAATATCATGCGTGACTGGCTCTTTTGTATGCAGGTTTTGAACTAACTTTCTTAAGAGTTGGCAAATGTTAGCACTGCAAGAAAAGTTTGTCTCGGGCTTGCCACTAGTGAAATGACCTCAGCTCAGCGTTACTGAGTTTTTGTTGCTCACAGGTAGCAAGTCGGGTGACGGATACACGTTAGCAGAGCACCACAAAGGCGCAGATGCGGATGGCATACCCGAGGTCAGGGCACGCGTTGGATGTACATGAATTACACTGTAAGTACAGCCACATGGGCATAATTTTACTTATATTTTCACTTGGGCTGTTCATTGCGAACACTACATTAGAGGTTTTTTCAGCAAGCACACAGCACTGGTTAATTAACTGAAGGGTACAGTCATAATCAGTTTTAGTAACAGAATGTTACACATAATTATGACCAGTTGTCTTTCACCCGCAATCTTTGTCCTGTCTGGATTGACAAATGTCTTGGAGATACAGCACCATGACCAGAGATTCATGGGTTCTGCCATATGCCTTAAATGACTTATTAATTTATTCAGTGAATTATTTGGGATATGGGTTATTAGCCTGACTTTCTAAGGAAATGAGGCTTCCACAATGGCACAGTATCTATAAGTTCTCTGTGGTATCTCTTGAAACTGCTGACCAACTTCTAACAAAGATACAGAGGTCTCCGTAACTTTCAAGTCTGGGATGTAGAATCACAGAATCATAGAACGGTTTGGGTTGGAAGCGACCTCAAAGATCATCTGGTTCCAACCCCCCTGCCATGAGCAGGGACATCTTCCACC